CCCCAAAACCCCAAAACCCCAAAACCCCAAAACCCCGAATAATCTAGAAATGATTGAATATTATTACATTGAAGTGTTACCATCTATCATGGTTTCATTAATTTTTACTTTAACAGGGCTAAGGTCTAGCTCAGGAGAGAGTCTCTCAATGCTACTTTTGAATAAGAGCTTCATTTCTCTCATTAATTTCTCAGGGTCTACATCTTTCTGCTTCAATCACTCATTAGTTTCTCATCTGATCGGGTCAGAAGAGTCCACAAATCAGGCTCTTTTTAAATATAACGCCGTGATTAAGCAATTAGCCTTGGAAGATAAGAACTCACCCAAATTCTTTTGATTATAATGATTAAGTAAACTCCTACAAACCGTAAAATCCATCCCTCTTGTCGCTCTCTCTGCCTTCTTATACCTATCACACAGGATCAAAAGTTGGATAGCCTCTACAATACTCTCCCCCACAATCCCATCAATCCTCTCAACGCTCCCTTCCTCTCCTCATCCTCTCTTCCCTCCAAACTCAAAAATATCTTCCTGCTGCACATACTCCCTAAAACACTGGTCTCACTTCTCCCTTGAAATCTCCTTAATCTTCCTCTTAAACTTATACTTATTTACTAAAGTTCTCAAATTTTTCCTTATAAAACTTCTTCATCATTCTGAATGTCTTCCGCTGGAGGAGGTAGTAGTACTCAGTGGTTTTGAAGCAAGGCTTGGGAGTGGATTTTTGAAGGGGTTTTCGTTGGATTTGCTCTGTGTGGAATATTTTAGGGATGGGGTGGAATTTGGGTGAGGAGGTGGGGGCTGGAGGGGGTGTGAACGGAGGGGTGGATGGAGATTGGGGGTTTAGAGGGAAGGTTGGTGGGTTTGGAGGGTAGGAAGAGGAGAAATGGTGAGGGGTCTTGGAGGTACTTCAATAGGGTCGGTTTCGATGATGAGAGGGGAAGGATTATTTGAAAAGATGTTGAGAGAAGAATTTTTGCTTCTAGAGGGTTCTATTAGAGCCTTATTTCCTTTTTGGCAGGACTCTTTGAAATGCACTATTTTGGTATGGAGTGTTAGCTCCTATTTCTTTGATGTGAGGCCTGAGAAGACTCTTTTCTTGCCTTATGGGTCTTGGTTTTATGATTGGGCAAAGAATAACTTTTTGAAATATTTTATTTTCTCCTTGTGGCATTTTTGCATGAATTTTATTTGAATGTTTATAATCCACTCGACCGATTTCTGCATGGTGAACAAGATTAATAGATTGAATTCTTTCAGTTCCATCGGTAAAACTTTTCAAGTTTGAATTCTTTGGCAGGAAACTAGAATTTTTAAATCAAGGCTCGCTGTCAATAGGGTTGTTTTTCTCTTCCTCATTAGAAGAATCATTTGATTCCCTTATCATTTCTGAAATTAACACTTAATTATATTAAGCTTCTCAATTTAAAGCAACATTTATGGGGTTTTGGGGTTTTGGGGTTTTGGGG